GCAGGCCGGTTACTGCCACTGTGAAAGAAAATGTGAAAAAAAATGACTTGTATAGGAAGATGCCCGAATAAAAATCAAAATGTTAACAGAGATGACAACCTATCCATTGGTACCATATTTACTATTTTTCATGACCATCTTAACCTTTCAAAGGTCTGTGCAAGATGGGTGCCGCGAATGCTCATGGCGCTTCATAAACAAGTGCGAGTCGAGTGCTGTAGGGAGTTTTTGGAGCTCTGTGGTGAAGATCCTTCGAGTATTTTTGACCAGATTGTTACTGGAGATGAAACTTGGATTCATCACTATGACCCTGAAAGTAAGCAAGAGTCCATGCAGTGGCATAAAAAAGGTGCTGACCCTCCGATGAAAATCAAAGTCACTCCATCCGCCGGAAAAATCATGGCCACAGTGTTTTGGGACTCAAAGGGAATTTTATTGATCGAGTACACGAAAAAAGGTGAGACCATAAATGCAGCATCTTATGCAACCACTCTGTGAAATTTAAGAGAAGCAATTAAAGAAAAAAGGTGGGGGAACTGATCGCAGGTGTGTTGCTTCTTCACGACAACGTGCCCGTTCATACGGCGCGTGTTTCGAAGGCTGCTGTGCAAGACTGTGGTTTCGAAGAAATAAACCACCCACCCTATAGCCTGGACCTGGCCCCCAGTGACTACTACCGATTCCTGAATTTAAAAAAAGTTCTTTGTGGAAAGCGATTTTCCGACGATGAAGAGCTCAAGGTGGCAATTAACACACATTTTTTAGACAAGGAGGAAGGGTATTTTTTACAGGGAATTGAAAAGTTAATTTCTAGATGTAATAAGTATATTGAAGTTATGGGGGATTACATTGAAAAATAAAAATTATTTCAATTTATTATTCCTTTTTCTTCATGCTGATACTGAGAATACATTGAATGCCCCTTGTACCTGGGAATTCAGAGCACTGTAAGAGCTAAGGTGCTAGGTATCACATATTTTTTTTACAATCTTCTGTACAAAACAAACAAAATATAAACATAATTAGTTTCTAGCCATTAGGCATAGAAGGTGGGGTCTGATGTTCAATTGCACATAAAAGATCCTAGGGCCAAATTCTCACTGATGCCACCATGACATAACAATAGAAAGTGGATCCAGAAACTTTTGGCTGTACTACGATCCAGACAATTACTGTTTCTGAAGACATGCTGAACAGAGTTAGGTTGTTGGGGAGAAGCCTGAATGTAGGGGCTTCCTTCTGCAAGTGGTGTGCTCTCTTAAAAAAAAAGCAATAGGACCGTATAGAACAATGCTGAATTTGGTTTCTGCTTTATTGCACTTCTGCACTTGGTAACTGAATAGAGATACAGATGTTGTCATGGAGATGGGGTTTGGTTAACTCTGTGCCTCCAAACTAGCTTCAGTCTGTTCTAGCAGATTGCCATTCAGCTCTGTTTTTAATGAAAACTAGGAATAGGTATCAGTCTCATGCATTCAGGAAAGTTTGAAAGCCAATTCAAGGTCAGCAAGTGCAATGCCATGCACTTAAATGCCTCTGTGTTCAGTTGGGTTTACTCCCAGCAGTGGCCACCTGTGATTGTTCTTGCAAGATAAGCATGTCAAACTCTGTGTGGACTTTCAGTTCTGGTGTTTGGAAGTACCTAAAATTAGGTAGCCAATGTCTATTCCCCCCCCCCACCCCCATCCATTAAATTTCAGATGACCAACAATGAAGTGGTTTTTCTTCAAATACTATAACTTTTTTCAATGTAAAAAGAAAATAAATAAAAGACCTCATCCTTTACATTAGTGATTTAATTCCTTTATATACTGCCCAATACACAAGACTTTCTGGGTGGTTAACAAAAGTTAAAATTAAAAGTTAAAAAGACACACACACACATTAATAGAACAAAACCATAATTGCTATCAGCACAGAAATAAACTGGGATATATAAAAACAGAGTTTAAACATTAGAATGTTAAAATGTCAAGAAAATAAAAGCAGTCTTCTAAGCCTATTTTGTTTTATTTCTTCAATTATACAGGCATGCATTTAACATTGGTTTAGCTTCCATAAACTTAACAGCAGCAAGTAATACTGAGACTGAATTTATATTTATTTATTTATTTATCTATTTATACTGAAAACTAATTCTGAAATGGTGAAAAGCTGCATTTTACAATTTTATGATGGAATGTTTAAAGCCAAAAAGTTTTGGGGGATGCTTTTATTAAATTATAAATACTACAATTAAATGCATTTTTTATATTTAAGATCTGGGCAAAAAGTAGTTTCTTGATTCATATTTTGACTTTGTTTGAACTTTAACTCTTTATTTGCAAACTGCCCAGCATCAGAATTTATAGAGAATGTTTTGCAAGTATACAAGAGTCAGCACTTTGTTTCTTTGTCATGGTCTGTGTGCATCACACATATGGGTGCTACACCTGTGCAGTGCCACTTTTGGGAAGATTCCTCTAGCTAAGCCTGGAATTCTTGGCAGGAGCTCCACCCCACTTCCCCTTAATATAAATAGGCGTGCTCTTGCCATTTTCTCAGTTTGCTTTCTATCTCATTGACGGGGTCAACAAGGCACAGCAACCCATCATGAATAACTAGCTATTGTGGATTGCTGTGTTGTCTGAGCCCTCCTGCAGGATGGCTGGCTTTGGGACAACAAGCCACAGTGACCCCCATGGCTTCTTCAACCCATAATGGGGTGCCAGGTCATTACAACCTAGCAAAGGAATTTGTGCATTATGGGGATCAGCTAATGAGACAGTCTGTATGAATGCCAGAACCCCTTGCCTCTCATAGAGATTTTGCCCCTGTGACTGCCAGTGATAGCCCCTCCGCTAATTCCCGAGTGACAGTTTGGAGTGACCTTCCCTGGTTTGTCACTTTAAAAAAAGTTTTGGTCCCAGAAATATATACCATTATCTTTCAGAGGTGCACATGTGCATACTTACAGCTGTCCAGTACAGGAAGTCATCTACATACGACTCATCAAGTCGTAACCTTTGAAGATGTGAATGTGTTTTTGTGTACTTCACTGTAATAATTGAGAGGAGTTCAGCAAAGCATAAAACACTCACACCAACCTAATGGTAGCGTCATATGAGGAAGAACCCATCAGACAAGTGTAATTCCTCACTGCCATGTACCTGGAAGTTTAACTTCCAGAAGTCCTCCAGTGTCGTTAAAAACCCATTACAGTACTATACAGCCGATTGTGTTAGTTGGACGTATGAATTAATTGGACTTATGAACGTGCTCTCAGAATGGTCCTCGTTTGTATGTAGGGGACTTCCTATCCATGTAGTCTTGCCCGGTCAGTGTCTTTGTCAGTTTCAGTTGTCAAATGCTAACAGCTTGTAGAAAAGTGACTGCATATAGACTGAACTGTGAAGTGTTGGCAGCTGTCAACTATCAGCAGTTGCACAACAAAGGGAAAAGAGCAGCAGAATAGGTGAGCAAAAAGGGAGTAGGCTTAAGAACATCACCTTAGCAATGTAACCCTCTTAATTTGTTGTTATTGTGTTGAATATTGCTCTGGCACTTCTCCATGTCCTCTGCCTTTTCTACACTTGACCAGTGTCCCGGGTAGTCCAGAAAGAAGAGATTTTAAAGCCATCCCCTTTTCACAACATTTTCGAGCCATTATTATTCTCTGACAGCTGTCAAAAAAAAAAAAGAAGTTGGCTGATTGGATGGAATGAATGGAGCCCCAATTGAAGGTGCAACCCATTTGCTTAATCCCTTTCTACCAATTGTTAAAGTATTTAAAAAAACCTCTATCACATGTGCATATTTTTCATTTTTGACAGTGAAATAGAAACAAATTTCAAGACCAGGCAATAAGTGGATGGGAAATTTTGCCAACAACTAGGGGTTGCACTCAGATAGGAGAGACAAGATGGTTTCTGCAGCAAGGGATCCTGGAGGGTCAGGAGCAGGGGCAGAGAAGGAAAACTTGTGGTAAACTCAATGTTCTGTTGGGCACATAATTGGCTGTTCCAAAAACAACAGATTTCCCATTGCATATTTGCAGGGTGGATTGCAATGCTATGTGTACTAAGCCAACATTGTGCCTCTATTTCATATGAACATAGTCTGGCATTTTTGTGGTTCTTTCAAATTCATGTGGACATTTATTTCTCCTGTACATGTTGAATTTACTTGCACTGAATCAGTGGTGTGAAATTGGGTTTATGGTAATAAAAGCTAGTTGCAACATGTCATGAAGTATATAAAAAACCCATACAACTCATCTTTCCCCCCACAGCATTTAGGATTCATGCAGCATCTGATGAACATAACTGATTACCCATCTAATCTCCTGGCTATCCTAAAGAGCCAGCATGTATTAAATACAGAACACCAATCAATATTTGATGATCAGATCTACTATTTCAGAGCATATGTGGTACTTCATCTCAGTAAGGATTTAGATATTGGGTTGGTTCTGATGTAATTATGCCAAGTGCAGACAAGTTGAAATCATTAGAACTTAGGTTTATCATTCTGAACTTGTTTCACTGTTTTCAATGGATCTACTTCTTCACATGGCCAAGTCTGGATCCAATGCATTTGTCCTTGGATTATATGGCAATTTTGTGGACGTTCATTGCCAAAGTAGCATTTGGCCCAGACCATGGCTAGATGCTACCTATTTCAACTGGCAAAGAATTTCTTCATTCTTAAGTAGCAATCTTTCTCACTCCTGCTTGCTTGACCTGTTAATTTCACATGTTAGGACTTGAGCCTGGCTTGTGCATGCTAAGCATTTGCTGGGTCACTAAGCTTTGGGGTCTTCCTGTTATCACAGCTCAACTTATTCAAGAAATTTATACAACTGCAGAAAACTCCAAACTAGCTTATTTTTTTTCAACCCCCCCCCCACACACACACACATTTAAATGATTGATGTCTCTGATTTCCCCCTACCCCCACACAAGTTGGCACTGTCCTCTTTGGAAGAAAATTCCCAAATGTTTCTCTTTTTCTATGCAAAGGTCTGTTGGAAAGACAAGCGTTACATGAGGCAGATGAAGATACGGTCACTGATGTTGACTTTACCAACATGATTTCTGAAGAAGAGCGAGAAGAATTAAAAGCTGAACTTGTCAAGGTAATGCTCTTTGGTCACCTGTGTATGTCACCTTTAAGAGCAGGTTTGGATATCATAGTTGTTACCAAGTTTTCTTGATGTGATTATCCTTCAACATGCACCTACATGGTGCAAATGAATTGAACTAGTACCATTGGTTCTTATACTAGATCTGTGTTTCACAATTGTGAAATTTACTGCCATTTGGGTGTAGCATTGCCAGCATGAGTTGAGCAGAAATCAAGCTTTCTCTGATTTTTTTTTAAAAATGGTGGATTAGAGATTAGAGTCCAGCCAAATAATCCATTTTAAGAGGTGTTTCCTTCACCAGGAATATTTTCATATGCAGATGTATTGGTAAGCGAGTGAAAGTATTCTAATGCTTCATTGGACTCTAGAGAAGCTTGTCTACCCACAAAGTGTGTTGGGCAGTTTTGACCAAGTTTCTGCCTTTTATCTTTATCATTGCATAGGACAGTTAAGAGGATAATGGAGAAATTCCATGTGCACCACTCTGCACTGTGTGGAGGAGGCACTTGCATATAAATATGATCAATAGAATAATAATATGCATTATTTTAGGTTATAGAAATGATGATTTTGTTAATGATGCTGCTTTTGTTAATATAGTAGAATGCTTTGAAAATAATGTTCTGCTGTTTAGTTTGCTCATTTACATGTCTCTCCCCCTCCCCTTAACCTCTTTTCTTTATGGAGTAATGAAATGAATGAAAGTCAGGCACAAGAAATGTCTGATTTAATTGTGTAAGTCTTCATCCCCAAGCCCTTCATTCTCACTGAAGTGAGCAGGGTTAAGGCCTGGATCCTCAAGGCACATACCACAGTACAGATTGTTTGTAGTCATTGGAGTTGTGGAATCTAGGTCAACTCTGATTGTAAAACTGCTCTAAATTGTTCACCACATTCAAATGGTATATAATTAAATTGTTCAAAGGAAATACATCAGGGATTCACATTTAGAAACGCTTGAAAATTTTCAGAAGTTACGGAGTTTCTGCACCTCTAATGAATTCATGCTTGCTTAGAATAACAGCTGTGCTTCCGATGGGACTTGTTTGACTACTAGTTCTCAGTGCCTTGAAAAATATAACTGTGTCATTGCCCCAAAACTCTTAGAACTGTTGCATTCCTGTTCTAAGAATAAAACCACCCTGACTGCTTTGTTTCGCTAATTGGAAACCCATAATGTCCAGACTCCCAGCTTTACCATTATATACTCTCACCATACTTTTCCTGCTGTTCTTGCATTGTTAAACAATTCACAGAGGGACACTGATTGTGGATGTTTATGAACACATGAAGTCTTTTATTATTTTAAAATGTGGAAATATGCATCCTTGGATAGGTACTGTTCCCTTGAGACAATGGCTGCTGTGTTCTGTGCAGATTTATACTGAAATTTCTGGCAAACTATTATTCATAGGCATAGATTGCAACTAATACCATGGCAATAGTGAAATTGTTCATAATTATAAATATTATGCTTACTGGACTGGACAATCTATGGAATTTATCTTACAGTTTGGACAACATAAATATATTGTGTATTTTCTGTCTTGGAAAACTGCAGTTTAAAAATAGGAGTAAACCTTGTGAAAAATTCTGCAGTCTTTCATTTAATGAGACAGCTGCAATAATAAAAGATAGGTGAAGATATATTTCATAAACTAGAATGATTATGTTTTGCAGAAGTTGTATAGAAATGCAGCAAATACTGTGTGCAACCCTTCATTCCTCCTCCTGCTTCTATAATATTCTGCTTTACTTGAGCAGATGAAACTGTAGGCTGTCTTTAGCTTAACTGATTTTATTGAAATAACACACAGATTTGCAGCCTGCCCTTTGCCAGCCTAGTTCTAGCGAAGGTTCCTTTTAGCTCTGCTGGCTTGTACTGGCGGAAGCCAGTTTTATATTGTTAACACAGACTGCCTCTTTTAAAGGGGAAGATTACTTCCTATCCATCTGTTCAGTAAGTATGTGCATGGCTTTTGCACATGGCTGGGTGTGCAGCATGCTAGTTGCTAGTGCCATAGATGAGAATCATTAGATTGGAGCCATTGAGGATAATAAAGAAGCCAGAGAAGGCCTTGATCCTAGATGCTTTGCCATGTGCCATTTTTAAATTGGCCAAGCCATTTCTGTGTTTATCGGGTAATCCTGCATTTGCATACCTTTAAATAAATGACCCTAGGTGAATTAGCACTAGGACATTCAGCAATCATTTAGCGTCATTTAGCGTAAACATTTGGATGCCATCTATTTTGGTAAGAATATACCAGATTTTATTATTTATTTAAAAAATCTGTAAACTATTCATTCAGCCATGTTGACTTTCTGAATGGTTTACATTCAATAAAATTACAAACATAATACAATGTATTAAAATAAAGTAACAATTGATAAAACACTGATTTTGTGGTATTGTACAGAATTAGTTATTTGTGTGGTCAACCATGTGATTATGTGCATCCACAAGAAGTTTTTTAGATTGGATATTGTAAAAAGAAGTAAAATTAGAGTAACTCAGTTGTACGCTAATCTATATTTTCTTAAAACATAACTTGTGTCTATGAAACTGAGCTCCTGCAAGTGGACCATCACGGGTGTGCAAAGGCACCTGATTATGTGCTGCTATTTGTTTGTGTAAACTTTCCGGGGCATGGAGTCATAGAAGTATGTCAGAATCTTGAGATGAGATCCAGTAGCTCTAGTAGCTTTTGAGGAGGCCCTGTGCAAAGCACTTTCAAGGGGGCTCTGCTCCACATGCCGCCCATCTGGTCTGCAGTTGCCACCTTTCTGCTGCCCACTGCTTAACCTGTACTGCCCCACCTCCCCCATGTTCTGCCACCAAGTCCCTCTTCCTCAGTATTCTGGTTGCTCCAGTATGTCCCTGCCACCACGTGTGCACACATGAAATTCATAAGTCTTGATAGTCCTTAAACTAAATATGGACAGCAAAGAAATATGCACAAAATTAGATTTCTGTATCATGCCTTGGCTTTCTGCTAGCTGTAGTGATCTTGTGTACTTGGCTTTTTTGTGCTTGAAAAAGGTATCATCTTAAACTGTTTTACATATATAATGAAAAATTATGCCAACTATTCTTTTGTTTTATGAATCCTATTCAAGCTAGAGGATGAAATTTCAACTTTACGACAAGTGTTAGCAGCCAAAGAGAAGCATCTGGTGGAAATAAAACAAAAGCTTGGTGTCAACCTGATGAATGAACTGAAACAGAACTTCAGTAAGAGCTGGCATGATATGCAAACAACTACTGCGTGAGTGCAAACCTCTTACACATCACTCTCTTCCTTTTGCAGCAATAGTTGGGATAGCTGAGAAATTTGTTGGGTTTGCATTTCAGTATGAACTTACCAAACATTTATGCCACAAACCTGAGCACAAACTAGAGCACAGACATCAATGATGCTATAAACCAAAAAGGCATGTGTGTATTCAAAAGTGTATACAACAAAGGTGCACATATGACTAATGCACACAACAAATGAGCACAAAAATGCTTTATTCAGTTGGGAAAAGTACTTGCAAAAGTGTGTATTTTTGGAAAAATATGGTCAGAAATACATACCCATACTGTGCAGACCATAGTGATGTACAGTCTAATGTAGAAATGGGAAAGAATAGCTGCAGGGCCTAAGTGAAATGGAGCTTGACAAATTTGCCAACCCTTGCATGAAGTACTCCTTCCATAGAAGGCCCATGTGGGATAGCGGCTCATACATTGGATTTTATTTGAGTGACCTGGCTTCAGCTTTTACTAAGACATGATATTTACTGAATGCCTTGCCTAATCTACTTCACAGAGTTGTTTTTAGGGTAAAAATGAGAGCAGCATTTTTAGTGAGCTATCCTGAATTTCTTGGAGGCAAGTGGGAATTAACAGAACGTGTTTAGCCCAGAAGCATTTTTGGGTACTTTCATCACACAATGAAAATCCAGTGGAATGAATGCATCAGCTGTAGGATAGACTCTAAGGTAGAATTCCTTATATTTTAAATGCTTTAATCAGGGATTTTTTGGTTATCTACATGACATGGAATTGTATTTTCTGTGCAACCTGCTTTGCATGAGTTATATATAGACATATAGATGTATTAAAATAACTGAAAAGGTGATGTATTGAAAAACCTAGATTTTTTATACCTGACTGTTGGCTGTTAGAATGTATCATACATTGGATACATTTGGACAAACTTGTCCCATTTCACTTCCATAGTGCACTTTGTGTGGGAAAGAGTTTATCTGAATCCATGGTTGTTGATACTTTGCAATAAATTTATTTCAAAAGATTTCAAAACTGTAATATTAAAGTGCTTTGAAGTTTTAAAATCTGATATACCATGTGCTTTCTGCTTCATCTAATTAATCAACTTTTTCAGCTAAACATACAATTCTGTTTGGTTTTTTTTACATTAGGATCTGTCTGACAAGATCCTAATGTGCTAATATTAGAGTCTACACCCGCCATCCTATGTACACTCTAATTGACATTGGCTCCTTTCTAATATAGCCATGACAGCAGCATGTAAACATTGGGATGTACCAATATGCAGAACAGTAATTTTGGGGGTAGAAGTGGCAGTCCTATTGTTAATTATATTAGTATCTTGCATTTATAGCTTGTTTTATATTCTTTTGTGAGGAACCCAACCAAATCAGCTTACCTAGCTCTTTTCTACTTGATTTTATCGTCACAATAACAACCCTGTGATGTAGGTTAGTCTAACAATGAGTGACTGGCCTAAAGACACCTGGTGGGCTTCATGGCTGTGTGGGGACTAGGACCCAGATCTCCCAGTTCCCCAGTGGCTTTAACTGCCCGGCCAATTTATGAAGAAAATACTAGTTTCTGAGTAACAAGCTTTTCCAGGGATATGGAACCTGTGTATTATGTACACAAGCTTTCCTGTGACCTCTTGAAAAATGCAAAACCCAGATTGACAGAAAGGTTGAGTTCATCCCTTATTAGATCTCTTCAGACAGTTTAGTTCCACAGGTATGTTTCACATAATGACTGCACATGGTTGTGACATCTGAACATGGAATGCATTGCTGTGTGCAGTTAGAAATATGTGATCCACTTTGTTCAATATTTCTATACTTATATTCACGAAGTAATGTTTTGCCAGAAAAGTTATCCTCTTACAATCAGTATATATTCATATCTTCATTGCTTACTTTGGCAGTGAAAAGTGAATTCTGAAGAACACAGTCATCATTGCACCAAAATAGCATTTCACCGCATGTGTTAAAGTCAGGGGTCTCAAACTCAACTTACCTGGGGGCCGCTGGAAGTAGAGTCTGGGTGAGGCTGGGCCGCATCAAGCGGTGGTGGTGGGCTGCCCATCCTGCGTGGCTCCCGGAGGCCGGCCCGGGCGCCACCGGCGCTTGGAAGGCCGCAGGGCCCCTCTCCCGTCCCAGCGCGCAGCTTAGAGGGAACATTGTGCCCAGGGTAATGACTCACACAGGTCCGTGTGAGAAAAACGCGCGGGCCACACTATCACTAAACTTTGAGATCAAGTGGGGGCCACAAAATATCGTCCCATGGGCTGCAATTGGCCTGTGGGCCGCGAGTTTGAGACCCCTGGTTAATCTAAATAGGAATCAGGGAAGGATTCTGTACCCTGCAGTCCTATCTCCTTCTTTTGTTAACCTGCAGAGGAAAAATGACAAGGGTCAAGATGCCTTGGGATGTATGTATGTATGTATGTATGTATTTATTTATTTATTTTTGTATTCACAGCCTGTACAAACAGAAATGTATCTTGGCGGGCACAAATGCTTGAATAATCTCAACATTTGCCCATCTGTGTATTCTTGTCAGAGTAGATTTACATAGTTTCCAGATGATACTTTAGAAAGCTAATAAAGGCACCTGCAGCTGGAACACTTCCATTCATCCCTAATTCAACCCATTCCTTTGTCTGTTGCCCACATAATCCTAATGTCAAAAAGACTATGCTTAAGTTAAACTATTCACAAGTTCATTCAGTTGCCTAAAAGTTAAGGCATATGGCTATGATTTCCGTGCCAGTTAAGCAACAAGCACATCTTACAGTTGCACCATAGTGTGCCTACATACAACTTGGCCTCTGTGCCCCTACTCTTTCCCTTGACCTTTCAGCCTCAGTTCTCTCCCTCCGTAGGCAGGGAAGACCACTAAAATTCCAAGCATCATAGGGGCAGTCAGAGCACTGAATGCTGACCTTCTGCTTTCTCTTTATGCCTTCAGTTGGGTTAGAGAAAACAATTTTAGCTATTGTACCTGTATGAGGAAAGGGGACTGTAGGCCAGGGGTCCTCAAACTTTTTCAACAGGGGGCCAGTTGAAAGGTGCCAGCGGCACACGTGGGCCGGCATGGGGGCGGGGGTGAGGTGAGGCGAGGCGGGGGGTGGGGTGGGCGCACAAGGCAGTGGCTTCGTTTTCTCCAAGTGAGTCCAAAACGATTTCCACGCGAGCAAGCCGCTGCCTCCCTGCGCGCGGGGCGAGGTGGGCGGCGGCAGGCATGGGCGCGATGAGTCCAAAACCTCTGAGGTGGGCTGGATAGATGGGCATGGCGGGCCGGATCCAGCCCGTGGGCCATAGTTTGAGGACCCATGCTGTAGGCTCTTTTATTTAATTTACGTATGTCACCCAGTAGCCAAAACACTCTTGGTGGTTTACACCAACACATTAAACATACAGTATACAGCATCATAAAAAGGCTGCCATACAAAATGTAAAACCAAATTTTAAACCCCTATGAAAATTATGACTTAAAGGAAGTCTTGTAAATAATTAAATACTAATAGAGCACTGACCTACATTTTAGTTAGAGCGGACTAGAAATTGATAGTTTGTTTATTCAAGGGGACATGAATTTGGAAGTGAAGACAAAATAGCAAATTAGTAGAATATGAATTTAGGGCTGGAATTCTGGACGGAAAATGAATGTGTAAAGAAAGGAAATACTTTGAGTATGTGGCGCGAGTATGTGTACATGGGCCCACTGAATTAGAAAACAGTGTCCATTTGGGGTCAGATCAAAGCCCCCATCCCAGCATCAGCTAGTCAGAAGACTTTGGAAGCTCCTGAGAGCACTGCACAAAGGTAGCAGCCTTTCTTGTCCTAGTATTGAGAACCCAACTCTGAATGCACTTAGCTCTAAGCCCAATAGGTACATGTCACTACTACTACTTTGAAAAGCCTCCTAAGTTAGTGACTTCGTCATGTGGCAAATTCCATGCAAGTTATGTGAAATAGCAGTATGCTTCGCATTGCTTTGTGAGGCTATGTGAATTTGATGTGCTTTAATTTCTGCAAACATTATTAAGTCACAGAGTGGGCAGAGGAAATTGGTTGATATGGAACCACAGCAAATATGGGAGCCAAGAAATTTGGTGCTCACACCCCATCTTTGTGTGAACTCCCAACAGGGAGTGCTGTTCAGGGCTCAGACACTGCTGCTGTTTCGTATGTTGTTTCTGCCTTGAGTGAGCCATTTTTCTCTGTCTAGCATTCTACTTCCAAAAGGGACCATCCAAATACATCTTGGAAACTTAGCAGCAGGGTATGAGAGAATAGCATTTCCCTGTCCCAGTGTTATTCAAAGATATACTGTCTCTGAATATGGAGGCTTCATTTAGATCTTGTGCTGTGTGGACAGAACAGGTAGGAAGAATTTTGGGCACATTGAGCCTCATGCTGTGGTTGGCACTCTAGACATGTGGACAAACTTGAGCACATGCTTAAGATATATATTCCTTAAGGAACTTTTTTGACTTAGCCATTGGGGCATGTGGCAGGAGGAACCTGCCTCCCTCGCTCCCCCCCCACACACACACAGAGGCAGGCAGAAGTGGGGGTAGAGGCTTCTTCAAGAATTCAGAATGTATTGAATGTACTTCAATAATTTGGGAAATTAACTTGGTAGAGCATTCCTTCAGAATTAGTGCTGATGTTCATGTTTCTGAAAGGTTACTTTCCTATAAGACTCTACCTTGAACAAATGACCTGGACCTTAACACAACTGGATAGCGTGGAAGAGGCAGTATCAATATTTTGCTGCTAGCAAGTTATTCTCATGTACCTGAACAGGTTCTAAGTGACCTGGAATAATTTCCAGGTCAGCAAAAAGTACTGTCATTGTGACTGTGCAAAGCTACCTTTGGAAATGGGCCAGGTTTCCAAGAGCCCTTTCAGGTGAACAAAGCTGATGAACACTGGAGTGCTTTGTTACATGGTGGCTAGACCTACATCACAGTGTGTGCTGAATGTGAATGCACCCCATTGTTTGCGATTGTTCAGAAAATGTGTTGAATTAAATCCTATTTTGTGATCTCTGGAAAATGCAGCAACATGTTCTAAGCTTTGCAGAGGAATTCTGTATTCATTATATGGTACAGAAAGTTACAAAGATAGACTGTTAGCTAAGTACAGTGCCTTGCAGTGCCTTACAGTCACCTCTCCTCTTTACTTTTCCACATTTTGTTGTGTTAACATCCCGGAACCAAACTAGATTTCATTCGCGGTGTTGTCACTTGATGCAAAATGCAAAACACTATGAAGGAGCAAAGTATTTTTTATTGTGGCGACCAGATTGAAATCATGGTGTTCTACATAACTTGTATGCATGCATGCCTTACGTACCTGTAGGTAGAGAAACTTCATTAAAACATTCCCAAACTGCCATTATAGGTTTTCTCCTTCAGTGAAAGAATACTATGATAAACTTAAGGCTATACACAAAAACAGCCAAAAACTTGTGGAGTATTCTGTTCAAAAGGTTGTACTTTCATTTTTATAGCTTGCCCCTCCCTCCTAACTCATAGCATGTGCTCAGAACTATTCCACATGGAACTATCTTCTATTCATTGATTTTTTTGAAGCTTAGCATTAGATAAGGGGCTGATCCTGTGTACATAGATTTGCAAAGGAACAATGGGATTAAAGTCTTTTTCTCAACTCTGTTTTATAACATTTTTGCTGTGGAGAAGAGGCATTTGATCACTACAGACACAAATTCACAGTTTTGAAAATGGTAAAACCAAGCATCTGTGATAATATCTTCTACACAGAAAATTGCCAATAAGCTTACTGAAGCCTCTGGAAGAACATAACATTATGAATGGATTAATGGGATTCATTTACCAAAAAATTTAAACATTCCATGAATGTATAGCCTCATGATGTTCATCCATCATTTTTGATGAGGACCTTGACATCTAATGGGTTGTGAGTTGTCCACAGTGTGTTCGCAGGTGGCTGATAAGGCCGATATGGGCATGGAGTGTTCTGCCACATGTCAGGCAGACATCTATGGGCACCACTGTTGCAACATTTGCAACTCTGGCTTTACGGAGTGCTCGCTTCTCTTGTGCTGTGGTTGTCCTTCTGGCTTCAGATGTTTGGCAGCCTTGGTGGACAGCGTGCGCCATGTCGATCAGTCTTGTGCCAGGGTCTCCCAGGAGGTGGTGTTGATATCCAGAGACTTGAGAGAGGCTTTCAGCATGTCTTTGTATCGCTTCTTTTGTCCCCCATGCTACATAATTAAAAACCAATCCTTATTTCATGATGATTAACTTTCAGACTATAATATATCTTAAATAGAAAACTATTTAGATGATTTTTTCCTCAAAAAGCATTTTATTAAAAAATCCAATTTAAATTTTAAAAAATCCAATATAAATTAAAGATCTGATTTTTTTAAAATGATATTTATCCACCCTGACTGCAGGTTGTAGCACAATGAAGTATGGAAAAGTTTGCAGGGAGGAGAGTAAATACTTCTGTACATGACTCACTTTGAATGGCTTCAGGTGCTCTATTAGGGGGTCCCTTCCTTTCCTTTGCATACTGTACATTTAATATTTTAATCATCTAAATTTTCAGCCCAGCTGCATGCTTCATAGCTTGGTATCTTGTTTACATTATTGTAATGTGTTATACAGGGGGCTACCTTTAAAATAGCCCCACGAGTTCAACAAGTGCAGCCCATGCCTGTCAGCATTCTAACTGGGAACTGTTGTGATACTATTATGCCATTTTTCTCTTGCTGGTACTGGCTTCCAATCCATTTCCTAGCCCAGTTCAAAATGCTGATTTAGAACTATAAAGCTTTATGTGGCTTTAAGACCTCAATATCTGGTGGGATGCCACTTACAATATGTACCATCTATAGAAGCCTTTCTTCAAGTGCACCCCGATTCTGAAGTTTGGAAGATGACAAAAAAGAGAGCCTCTTTGGTTGTAGCCCTCCAAGTTCTGGAATGCTCTTGGAACTTGCCTGATGCTCATACTACTGTCTTCATTAACAAGCTTAAGACTTTCTATTCTAGGGGTTTGACGTGTTTTTTAAATAATTCATTATTTCTAGTGTTTTGTTATCTTAGTCTTGGTGATGTGGTTTTACCTCTTATACCTGATATATTTTATGCTGTATTGACATACTAATTAGTTCTGCATCCATTCTACTGGCATTTTAATTGTGCTATCATGTTTTAAATTGTAATCATCCAGATGATTTTGTTTTATGATTCATTTAAAGTACATTTAATAAAATATTTAAGTCAGTAACTTGAACCACATACCTTTAAAACTATAAAAGGGAAAGGTGAATTGTGAAGTGAGATTATACATACTCAGCAAACAGATTAACAGCACAATAACTACTTTTGGCTTTTAAAACAGTTTATAAGCCCTGATGAAGCATGTAAACCTAGCAAGTCAAAGTATGTTGTATAAATCATTATGTGCAATCATTAGCAAATTTAAGAGGCTTGTCTCCAAAGATGCTATGCTATTATGTGTCTGCTTTAAAAGAAAAGGCAGAGCTGCTTTCCATATGAACTTATTGTCTTAAATTTCCTCAAGGGGCCCCAAAAGTATACTTATGATGTTACAAAATGACTGAAATGGCTATAATTGCTTGTCTATTGCATTTGTGCCCTAATTTTTGACCAAGAAGCTCCTAATGGTGTGTTATGGTTTCTGTTTTATCCTTGTAATACTCTGAGGTAGGTACATAACTTTGCGAGACATTGGTTTACCTATGACTGTCCAGAGAATTTGAGGGGCTATGTGAGGATGTGAATAAGTCCAATATTCCAGCCCTGAATAACTTGAAATCTATTTGGTGAATGCTCCCCATCAACCACTCGTGGTTGGCAAGCCATGTCCTTCATAATGATCTGGTTTGCATAATACAACAGCCCTTAAGTTAAACAACCATGGGCTGTCGGGATGAGCAAGACCGAACAGGCACGCTGCCTTTGCACCCGTGGCACTTCTGCTTTTAATCAGCAACCCATGAACAGTTCTTTCATAGAATGCTTGTCTGTTCTCTCAATCTGCAGTGCTAGCCTATTCTGGAGCTAATAACTGAGGGTAAACCCATGGTTTCTTGTTTGGTTAACCATTGGGTTGTTTAGCTGCAGGATGTGTGAGCATCCAGACAGAAGCAGCAGAGGCTTTGCTTGTACTTTTGCCGTGCCAATCCATGTAAAGCAGCAGCTTCTGCTGTACCCAGCCATCACTGAGACTTGCTTCAAGCTCAAAAAGTCATGCAAGTGATGGGAGACTAGCCTGAAATGTACATGAGTTATGGGGGACAGAAGAGGGACAGTGTGGGCTCTGGTTGGAGGGTTCTGACAGGCAGAGCAGCATCACTCTAAGGAACAGTCCTTCCTTTCTTTTATTGCAGTTGTATAGCTTCCTTACCTGTAGGAAACCTTTTTAAAATGGAGAAAATATTCACAACCCTGCATTCTTAAATGGCACCATCCAAAATTCTTCTGTTCAGGATGTATTGGAAGCAACAATGGTTATCTGGGGAAAGGCTGGGGAGTGAGAGGACAGACTTTAGGGGAAGAAGAGCAAAGGACCCTTTCTCCCTTGCATGTCCTCAGCAATCTTTTTGAGGAATGCTTCCATAAAATTATTATTTTATTGCAATGACTTGCTTTGTGATGGATGAGCTTCTTGATGCATGTAAACTGGAACATATCTAGAAGGCTAAAAAAGTTGGCAACCTATTTTAAAAGTATGCACTGATTTTATAATGTTCTTGCAAGTGAGTTTAATGTACAGCAGTCTCCATTCTGATACCAGAATGGTAGTGTTGTGACCAGCAGTATAATAAGCAAATGCCTTATGAATGAATTTTGACTTCTGTAAGTATTGCTGCTTATACTGTGCTGTATTTAATCACAGATATAAGAAGACCCAAGAAACTCTGACTCAGGCAGGGCAAAAAGCCACAGCAGCAATCAACAATGTTGGAACAGCCATCAGCAAGAAGTTTGGCGATATGAGGTACAGAACTTGGAACAATTTCCAGAGGGAAATTGAGCTTTCTCCTGTTTTTTAATGCACAGCGTTACAAGATTTGAATGGGCTCATGACTAAGCCAACTTTCCCTTATTCCTATTTTTTCATAAAGGAAATGAAAGACAGCTTGTTAAGATGTATTCCTGATTTAAAATCTGGCAGCATGCCAGAGAAACCAAAGAGATTACATGTTGGAATCTCATTTGCTAAATAGCACTAGAAAATGTATAAGTAGGCCCACAAAAACTCCATTAACCTAATTCTTTTTGTAAATGGAATTTTAGAGATGGAAATCTTTTGAATCTTGCCTCCAAGCTATTCGTGGAAATACCAATACAGTGATTTTTATTATTTTATCACATTTTCAAGGAATACTAGATAGTAACAAGCACTTCTACAAAACAATCCAACATCTTCCGTTGTCCTTTCCATGATTTCAACAGAACACTTTTTGCAAAGAAAGGTAAATTTGTTCAGAAATTCAGGACATCCTTTCCAATGAAATCCATTTTTGTCATATGGCATTTAGAAGTAGAAGAAAGTGCTGATTATGTCCTCTATAGCACAGCAATGAGCTCTTTTCCTCCTGATTTGCAGGGCTGCAAGGCAACTTGTCTAACATCTGTACCTGTCCAACCTCCATCCCACCTACCAGTGATATAATAGCATGTTTTGGGGTGGGAAAGAGGAATTTACACTGGAGGAAGGAACAGAATGAAAGGATTAAACACTGTCTTCCAGAAATCTATTTCCAAATCTTCAAAGTAGTAATATGGAGCTTTTATTTTTATTTTTCCATTTCTGTACTGCCAGTTACTTTTACAAAAAAAAATCCTAATCATGAATTGTCACATCTAATTTGGTTGTATAGTTGCAACCTATCTTTCACTGGTGTCAGTGCAAAACTTCATGATGACTTTAATAGAGTTAGAGAACAATCCTATGGCTGTTACTTCTACTAAATCTAAGGCTTCTTTATTAGATATTTGTGCTGGCATTTTGTATATCTTCATTCCCAAGTGAAACAAAGCCAGTGATTAACTGCATTTACTTGTGTTACACCTTGACTTTGCCTTAGCCGTTTATCTGTTCTTCTCGTTGTCTGCCCCTTTCTTTCCCTTTGCTTTCTTTCATAGGTACTATCTCATGGCTAAAATTTGTCTTTTATGCTTGGTGTTTCTCTTCAAAGCATCATGATTTATATTGATGCTGCTTTATAAATAAAGTGTATTTCAGTGTGCACAATAAAAATTACCTTTTGCTTCCATGTCACTTTAGGCTAGTGCATGGCTGTGATACTTAGCAAATGCTATAGAGCACCTTTTGTCTGTCTGAACACCAAAAATAAACACAATAAAGAGTGTGAACATAAGATGTTTAATTTTTCTCTAGACTAAAATCTAGATTTTACACTTTGTTATATGAACCATGCCATTTTATTCTTGTATTAATAATGTTAAATGCTTACCTTCCCTTATTTATAAAACAAGAGAAAGAAGTTGAGAACAAATTAAATTTTGGATAGTTTGGAAAACTGAAATAGATCAGAAAATATATTTTATTAATAAGCTTCTTGATCACAGCCTAGCTTCCTGACAACTTTGTTAACCAATAACATTTGGTCTTCTTGTTGGCTGGGCACCTGTGAAGAACAAGTACCAAAGAATTTTGGAAAAATGTAATTATGCAGGAAGGCTGGAGGGCTATTTGCAGATTGGTTATCTTTCTGGGAGTTAAGGAAGAAATCCAGAGCAAGAAACTATTGCTTATTACTTTGAATGGGCAACTGTTAACTTCATTTAGTGCTCAGATGCTGCAACACTACCGAGCAGTGCTCCCACCCCATTGGGCTGCCTGTACATACATGTCCATAAAGGTCATTACATAACGCATTGTTGTTTGTAGCTGACCTATTATGGCTGAAGTCATGAAAAGTAATGAAGAAGTGCTGTCAGTCATGGAAGCAGGCCATTAGATAATTTTTCATAACGCAGTCCTGTGTTCACTTAGAGGTTAGTCTCATTAATTCGTTGGTGCTTATACACAAGTAAATCATCCAGAGTGTGCATTTCTTAAAACTGTTGTGCCTTCAGGATGAAGACTTACCATGAGAGCATGGTGTTGCAAAAGCTAATGTTGATAGGGCTTTTGCGGACCAGTTTTTAGCAATCAGTTACTGTAAGAAACTAGAAATCTAATTGCTTTGTCCAAAAATAGGCATGGACAATGTAGAAATAGCTAACTGTTTTTTGGTGCTGCATGCAAACTTCAGTGGATTGGCTCCAGAGTTTTATTCACCTTTCTGTTTAGAACATGAACATATATTTTGCTCTTTGGACATACTGCTTTTTTAAACTGTTTTCAGGGAGAATTATACATGTAATATTATATTCCACTACTCTAAGAACTAAGCCAGGACTATCTGTGTTAAGGAATTCTATGCACATGGAATTGTGCATGAAATAGTAAGACCTCAGTGACCAGGAATGGATTATGTAGAATCCTATGATTAACCAACAGCCCCTTTTGGGCTAGTTTTCAAACTGGATTATGTACTTATTATCAGCCCAGTTTGGGATTGCAACTGGTGGTTCATTGCAGAAGCAGACTTAGAGGCACGCTGCTGATCAGATATTTTTTGACAATGTCCACCTTCATGAACATTGCCTGTGCACATGCTCAGGTCAGGCAAAAGAGTCAAGCCAATTTCAACTGAACAAACGGCTGTATGAAATCACTATTTATTTTCCCACCTTTAAGCATGTCTAACTTTTATGGGTGAGGTTAATATATTTTACTTAAAGGAAAACAGCAAATTCACAATAGTTCTAGTGCTTGGAGATAATACTGTTGATGTTTTCTTAGATCTTCCAATGATGAACTCTTTCCACATATCCCTATCAGCCATCTCTCTTCTGGACTCCACTTTACTTGTTGCCTATTAATGTGCAAGTTTCTGAGTGAAGCATGCATACCGAGTAACTTAATACAAAATCAGTCTAATGTACCTAAATATTGCTTAAACACTCTTATGGTATTAAATATTCCAGTTCAGGGTTTGACAGAAGCTTTCTGTAACTATATATTTGTGTTTAACTCTCCTTGATTTTTTCTTACGCTGCTGTTCCAGGTCACATTCACTTGGGTAAGATTAATATATGTTCCTGCATAGTTCACACATTTCATTTTATGAAAAGGATATATCATCATGTTTTCTTTTTTCTTTTCTTTTCTTTTTGCAGTCTGATTTGAAACTTAATTTTATTTTGATCAGAGCATCCTGACGGCATAGTTTGTTCAAACGGGGTAGTGATTGCTAAGGACCCTGTAGAGACCCCAAATAGAACTGATGATGATGCTGAAGCAATTTCACATAATGAAGATACTCACAATGTGTTTCTCTCAGACAAATAAGCCTGTTTTATATATATTCTCTCAACAATCCTCTTTTTCTAGGGAGTGAAATGTAAATTCTAAGCACATGAAATTTGTTCAGACGGTTGAATTGTTTTTCAGAAACCAGGCACAACTGTACAACTATTACTGGCCCAGTCTAATGGTGACGAGTTATGAATGAGCCTTGTCCCTGTGCATCCCATCTCTCCTCCCTTTTCAGTATGCTGTGATTATATCCAGACGTCTTTAACCCTAAGTTCCTCTCTAAACCAAGAAATCATGGTTACCAGTTTTGGAAAAAATCCAGGGTCTGACACCAGGTTTAAGATTCTAGTTTAGTCTTAAACTGGGAACCATAATTTCCTTTGGACTGACTCTCCATGGCATACCAAGGAGGGAAGGGGCTGGTTACACAAGTGGCAGTTGCATTTACTTCTCAGCTCATTAAGCCAAGCTGTTATTTTGGTTTCTCATCACAGTTGCTGATCAGAATGCTTTGCAGATTTTCAAGATACTTCATGTTATTCAGGAACATTTGGAGCTAGTCCCCAGAAGCATGTTTAGCATTGCTACAGTAGATGTATATGTGTTGATTTGTTTGTTCATGCCCATAATGCTTCCAGCATCTAGGAATAATAATGTTATTGTGGGCCTTGTGCGGTTTTAGTTTTTCCATCACCCCCTTTACTGCTGTTGTTACACTAATCCTGACTCAATATGGATAGGATGAGCTACCACAAATATAACAGAAGAAAAGTGCCTTGCTGTAAAGGAAAAATATCCATTCACCTTATCTATTTAAATCGTAACTCCAGCTGTTACCCTAGTCCCTCACAAATCAGTGCAGTCGAAATTGATTAGCCCATATTGCATAGAGATTCTCATTTGTCAAGATGAAAGTAAAAAATCAAAAAGAGAAGCAAGCTTGACTTGCACAGTTATTCCAAAAGGAGCTTTGTGAGAGCCATCTACTGTCCAGTTAAACATATACACACACATTTGAGCACAGAAGATTTCTTCAAGTCCTGCCACCATCTGTGGGGATGCTGTTTCTTCACTGGGCAATCCCATCTATTGGGTTCTTATTAGGAGCAGATCCTTGTATTCCAGGGCCTAAGGAACTCTCTGCCACTCTAGCTTGGAGTTCCAGAAGCTGGCCCTTTCCCCACTGCCACCAGTTCACTCAGAATACTTTAAAACCTCATAGTAGCTGTTATAAGCAGCTTAGGTATGAGATAGGTACCAACACTGAGCAATTAAACAAGTTTTTTTTAAACTATTTTATTCACACAGGATTGCTAATATTTACTTCAAGGGTTTCACAAAAATGCTTAGCGACATTTCTTTAGGGATAAAGAGATACTGTTGCTGTTATAAGCCTCTTGGGACGTATTTTAGCTAAATTTTCACCTCAGCCAGACACCCCTGCAACCAAAGAGTTTTCCTGATGCCAAAGTTCCCCCTGTTGTATTTCTGGCTTCTTGGACAATTTATCTGAGTCATTACTGCCAGCTTGTTTGACATTCCTCTGCCAAGATTTTAGGGCTGCCTCTTGCCAAAACACAGCCACCTGCTTCCCACACTTCATCTTTACCAGCCACGTATGGTTATTCCTCCAGAGAAAAAATAGTTTAACATCTAGGCCTAAGCAAGTCTTTTTTCTTTTCAGCTTTTTCCTCATGATCTCAGTTCGAATCCAAGGCAAACCATTCAACATCACAATAGTCCAAGTCTTTGCCCCAACCACTGGTGCTGAAGAGGCTGAGGTTTATCAGTTCTATGAAGGCCTACAACACCTTCTAGAATTAACACTAAAAAAGGATGTCCTTATCATCATGGGGGATTGGAATGCTAAAGTAGGAAGCCAAAAGATAACTGAAATAACAGGCAAGTTTGACCTTGGAGTACAAAACGAAGTAGGGCACAGACTGGTAGAATTTTGTCAAGAGAATACAATGGTCATAGCAAACACTCTTTTCCAACAACCCAAGAGACGATTCTACACATGGACATCATCAGACGGTCAACACAGAAATCAGATTGACTATCTGCTCTGCAGTCAAAGATGGAGAAGCTCTATACAGTCAGTAAAAACTAGACCAGGAGCTGAGGACCAGTGGCTCAGATCATGAGAGTCTGTTAGAAAATTTAGGCTTAAATTGAAGAAAGTACGGAAAAGCACTAGGCCACTCAGGTATGACCTAAATCATATCCCTGATGAATATACAGTAGAGGTGACAAATAGATTTAAGGAATTAGATCTGATAGACAGAGTGCCTGAAGAACTATGGATGGAGGTTCGCAACATTGTACAAGAGGCAGCAACTAAAACCATCCCAAAGAAAAAGAAATGTGAGAAAGCAATATGGCTGTCTGAGGACGCACAACAAATAGCTGAGGAAAGAAGGCAAGGGAGAAAGAGAAAGATACACCCAATTGAATGCAGAATTCCAGAGAATAGCTAGAAGAGATAAGAATGCCTTCTTAAATGAACAGTGCATAGAAATAGAAGAAAACAATAGAATAGGGAGGACCAGAGATCTCTTCAATGAAATTGGAGATATGAAGGGAATATTTCATGCAAAGATGGGCATGATAAAGGACCAAAATGGCAGGGACCTAACAGAGGCAGAAGAGATTAAGAAGAGGTGGCAAGATTACAGAGAAGAAGTATACAAGAAAGAGCTTAACGTCCCTGATAACCATGATGGGGTGGTCACTCACCTCGAGCCAGACATCCTGGAATGTGAAGTCAAATGGGCCTTAGGAAGTCACAGCAACAACAAACCTAGTGGAGGTGACAGTATTCCAGCTGAATTGTACAATTCAGAATTGTAAAATACAATGCAGTAAAAGTGCTACACTCAATATGCCAGCAAATTTGGAAAACTCAACAGTGGCCACAGGATTGGAAAAGGTCAGTTTACATTCCCATCCCAAAGATGAACAATGCCAAAGAATGTTCAAACTACCGCACCATAGCACTCATTTCACATGCTAGCAAAGTTATGCTCAAAACCCTACAAGCTAGGCTCCAGCAGTATGTGGACCGAGAACTACCAGAAGTACAGGCAGGACTTCGAAGAGGGAGAGGAACTAGAGATCAAATTGCCAACATCCTCTGGATCATGGAAAAAGCTAGTGAGTTCCAGAAAAACATCTACTTCTGCTTCACTGACTATGCTAAAGCCTTTGATTGTGTGGATCACAACAAATTGTGGCAAGTTCTTAAAGAGATGGGAGTACCAGACTTGTTTGCCCCTTGAGAAACCTATATGCGGGTCAAGAAGCAACAATGAGAACTGGAAACGGAACGACTGATTGGCTCAAAATTGAGAAAGGAATTCGGCAAGGCTGTATACTGTTGCCCTGCCTATTTAACTTATATGCAGAGCACATCATGAGAAAGGCAGGGCTACGTGAATCACCAGTTGGAATTAGGATTGCTGGGAGAAATACCAACAACCTCAGATATTTATTTATTTGTTTATTTATTTAGGGAACTTCTATGCCGCCCCATTCGCCGAAGCCTCGAAGATACGCAGATGATACCACTCTAATGGCAGAAAGTGAAGAGGAACGAAAGAGCCACTTGATGCGGGTGAAGGAGGAGTGCAAAAGTTGGCTTGAAATTCAACATTAAGAAAACGAAGATCATGGCATCCAGTCCTCTCACTTCCTGGCAAATAGATGAGGAAGAAATGGAGGTAGTGACAGATTTTATTTTCCTGGGCAGCAAGATCACCGCAGATGGGGACTGCAGCCAAGAAATTAAACAACGCTTCCTCCTGGGGAGGAAAGCTATGACAAATCTAGACAGCATACTAAAATGCAGAGACATCATCCTGCCAACAAAAGTGCGTATAGTCAAGGCTATGGTTTTCCCATTTGCAATGTATGGCTGTGAAAGTTGGACCATAAAGAAGGCTGAGTGCCAAAGAATTGAGGCCTTTGAATTGTGGTGCTGGAGGAGATTCCTGCGAGTCCCTTGGACTGCAAGGCAATCAGACCAGTCAGTCCTAGAGGAGATCAACCCTGACTGCTCTTTAGAAGGCCAGATACTGAAGATGAAACTCAAATACTTTGGCCACCTAATGAGAAGGAAGGAGTCCCTGGAGAAGAGCCTAATGCTGGGAACAATAGATGGCAAAAGAAGAAGGGGACGGCAGAGGATGAGGTGGCTGGATGGAGTCACTGAAGCAGTTGGTGTGAGCTTGAGTGGACTTTGGGGGATGGTGGAGGACAGGAAGGCCTGGAGGAATGTTGTCCATGGGGTTGCGATGGGTCGGACACGACTTCGCGCCTAACAACAACAACAACAAAGAATCTCTGGACAATCAGCTATTCAAAGCAACTCTCAGCAATCCATGCAGCTGTTCTAGTTTAGTGTGAATATTTTTCAAGTCTCTGAAATGTGTTGACTGATACTTAAGAATTAACAACAAATATTAACTCAGTAGGCAACTAAGAGGAAATGAAGTAATACAATAAGCAGGTAACACATAGTGCTGGCCTAGTTCAAAGATGCGGCTTTCTAGGTGGCTTCAGTTGCTCCCAAGCTGCAGCATGCCAGCAACTAGACTAGGATTGTGATCTGTGGCCCATTACACAGGGGTGATTGTAAAATGATTGGTCTCCTTAGGTTGTCCCCCAACCAGAAATTATCTGTTTCTGCTCCCTTCTCCACAGACTTTTTCACTTTTACCTCACTTTAACTGTTCAGTGATCTTTGTGCTACCCATATAGAGTTTCTCCTTAGAAATGCATCCACCTGTTCTTGTGTGTTTGTGTGTGTAAGTGAACACATTGAAAGCAGAAATTCAGGTGTAACAACATTTAACAACCATCAGTCTTAGTCATGTTAACTCATTTCCTGTCAGGCAATCCCTTTTCCATACTCACCCACCCTTCCTGAGTGCTGTTGGAACTGCTGGTGTCTAAAATGTTCATGTTCAGAACCGTGGGCTACTTCATTGCTACATTCTTTAGTTACCTACAATGTATGAAGTAGACTACATTTCAGTAGAAAACTTTCTATACTGCTCTTGAATGTTGTGTGTTACTAAATTGCAAAAGAACTTTGTACTAGAATTGAGCATACCAGAATTGTGATTTAGAAATGAAACCAGCTAGGTTTTATTAATGCTACTTATACTGCAAACCAGTATTAATAGTTTGGCATGTTCTCTTTTCTCTTCATGCTTTTGCAATGCAGTTACTCTATTCGCCATTCCATAAGTATGCCTGCTATGAGGTAAAAATTCCAACATAATTATTTGTACTGTGCTAATATAAAAATGTATGACCCTGACTTAATGTGGCTTTAATTTATAATGCATAACTGAAAATAATTCTATACAACTATCTAAATGAAAAGAATGCACACTTGGCAGTTTTTAAGCCTTGCATCTCTTCCTGACGTATGTTTTATTTGATTAGAGGGAACTTTGTGTGAGCATTAGTAGTTGAATCGGCGGTGGACTAGATGAGGTCCAATAAGCTGAGCAGGTAATCTTTACTGGAGGATGCAGTGGGAAGGTGGCTCCTGTTGCAAGAATTGAGCAGTTAGCTGCCCTGTATGGGGTTTCACTCCCTCTGAAGGGTTCAGGACATAATCTGGAGGTACTCTTCAACAGTGTATGTCACTAAAGGCTCAGGCAGACTCTGTGACTGGTTGGTATACCAGCTATGGAAGTTCCTGAGTAGGATAGCCTGGCTGGCAATCGCAGGTTTGATTTCTGAACATGGTCGTTGTGGAACTTCCATTATGCATTCACGCCTCACAAAACAGCCAGCTCTGTCAGAAGCAGTGCATGAAGTGTGAGGATATTCCAGCTTCTTATGAGGCAACAGTACTAGCCAGTCCAAAAGAAGTGTGCAAGACCTAGTCCAGCTAGTTAGCATATGCAGAGGGTGGAATGTTCCCCAGCATTGCTTGACAGTGCAAAATGTCTGTAGTACATTCTGAAATTGCAAGCTTGCCTGATCTGGGTTGAGTACCCCCATACTAGCTATTTAAACAGACACCACATAAGCCAAATAATGTAACATCAAATTGGGTTTCACCCTTCAGTACATTTAGAATTTAGAAATGGTGACAAAAGCTATGGTTGTGGAAATACATACTTGCGTTATCCTTTCATTCAGTTCTGGCAAAATCCAAAAGGAATCAAGAGCACAAACAAGCATGAGAGAACAATTTTGCTCTTTTTTACCCTTTAGGAATTCTCCTACTTTCAAATCCTTCGAAGAAAAGGTTGAGAGCACTGTCACAAGCCTTAAGGTATGGGATAACAACAGATTGAAAGGATATGTCTACACAAACTATTTTTATGCTCTGTCACTGAAAGTAGCACAAGATTATTTATTTGCAGTAATTCTGTACTGCTCCACATTCAAATCGATTCCAGAGCATGAGGTTAAACACATGATGAAAGAATAAAAACAGTACATTAAAATTGCCAGAGAAGGCCACACCCAGTCCTGAAATCAACTACTCTTCGTTCGTAGTCTTCCAGGGAGTTGTCTATATATTAGTACATCAATAACACAGTAGAAATTATCTTGCAATCAAGAATATTTTGCCATACCATGATCTTTTAGATCAGTTTAGCCTTGGCCCATTATGTGTCGTAGTGTTGCTTTTGGACTCTGATGTCCATCCTTGACCATTGGTCATGCTGGCTGGGGCTGATAAACGTTTCATCCAAAACATCTGTAGGGCACCAGGTTGGGGAAAACATAATTTAGTGCATCTTCCATACCTAGTTCACTCAGCACAGGAGATATACTCTTAGTGCCTGTGTCACAGGTTGTGGAGTTCCTTCTCCTGAAGGGCCCAAGTCCAAGCCTGAACACATTCCTGAAGCACTGTGATTTTCCAGTGCTCAAAAACCAGGCTTTGGCAAATAGAGTAACCTATAATGGGGAGCTGGTATGTCTCCTCTGTTGGTCAGTCCCATGTAACTTCAAGGCCATGAACTGCACACACCCAAAATGTGGCATGTGTGCCCAGGAGGCCTTAGGGGTGCACCTTTCAGGGTTATTTCTCATTAAATAGCATGTGAGTGCCTGATGCCTGCAATCTGCAGTCCCCGGATGGCAGACACCCCTAATTAGTACACGGCTTGGCAGGGGATAATTTGAAACCAGTGGAGAGTTCTCCAAGGGAAAGAGTTATACACCTGCCCCTGCCAGGGATGGGGTGACACCCCCTGAGGGGCTAAAGGAGTACACTATGCCTAAAGATGCCAGCAGTCCTACGTCTTGACAGGCATGTACAGAAATAAAAATATTCTTGGGCCTCCCTCCCTCAACACTGAAAGCTTTCACAAGTTTATTACCAGAACAATGTTTGTATTATGCCTGCTTTGTATTATTTGCAATTAAACACTATTCGTTGAAAAACTTAAACAATTTAAAAACTAAGTGATAAAAGTATTAAGGAAAATTAAGGTACTTACACAGATGTGGTCTGGTATTCATATAAATCCAAACTATGATGATAAGCAGTAATGTCCACTTAGTGGAATTATCGAATCAAAATTACTTGAGTTTATTTTTTCAAACCAAAGATTCAATGGGGAGAAGTCCCATGAGCCAAATTCTGAGACAAAGAAATATATTACGTGCAGCAAATACCTTTGTATTGGAAGGGACACATGTAAATGTTATTAAATGTGACAAAGGGTGCTGTTGTGCAGGCAGTCTAAGACTGCCTTTCTTTGCTAGTGTAGTCGCAGCTGGTACTTGTGCCAAAGGCAGGTTGAATTTCCTATGCTGCAGTACCCTTGTTTTTATAACATTACTTGATAGAATATATCCAGCCTTAGAGGGTGCAATCCTGACCCCTAGGCAATGTCTGAGGGCTGTGGGAGACTTCAGGTTCCCAGATCTGCACTCAAGAGACAGTGCTCCAACTTGGGAAGGGAATGCCCAATCCGTCTCGCCTCTCCCTTTCAGCCAATGCAGAAAGAAGTGAGCTGGCTGCCCCTTGCAGTTTGGGAATACAACCTGGGGGTGGCATTTAATGGACAGAAGCCTGGATAGGCCAGGACAGAAAGAGGCTTCTCTCTTGGAGCTTCTCCAGCCACAGTCACTCCCCATCTGAAACACCTTTGCTACATGGGCAAAAAAGCCACTTAGCAAAAATGCAGGGTGGAAGGACTGCCTCTATTCCTGCTCCCACCATAGAACGCACATGAGCCTCTGCGTTGGGGGGAAGCACAGTAATAGCAATAGGAGTAAAGGCTAGCAGAATTAAGTTCTTAAAGCCCACTCCTATACATGTTTATTCAGAAGTAAGTCTTAGTGTTCAAGGAGGCTTACTCCAACATAATAGGTATAGGATTGCAACCTAAGATAGTATAGAACAACACAACTTCATAAACCAGTTTCTATTTGATCTGGGGCCTAACCAGATAGATCTTGTTTTCCCTGCCTTATAAAAAAGAAAATAACAATATAAATTTAGACTCATATTATAGGCAGCTGAATTCAAAACTAAGGTTGCATCTAGTTTCAGTGATATCCCAATTTCCTACGATTGAAAATAATACAGATGTTTTAGGTTGAATTGATTTACATAGAATTAAATGTATAGTAGAAAGTTAAATTGCTGCTGTTTCATATTCATTTTTTAATTTTAACTTTGACTCTTATCCCTCTGAGAATTATATAAAACTACTGACTTCCAGCATCTGTTACAAAGGAATTACTTTTTTTTTCTTAACACTACATGGTAAGTGGCCACCTTGTGAACTGGTGAAACAAAGGATGACATGAATTAACTCTCTTAGCAACTAAGCTCACTATCTATCTAGTTACAATAATCCTAAGGATTTCTTTGGCTGAGAATAGAAAATTAACTCATTTAGGCAGAAGGTAAATTGATGACTGTCCTTGTTCATTTCTTGTAGACAAAAGTTGGAGGTACAAGCCACCCTGGAGGAAGTTTTGAAGAAGTTCTTAGCTCTACTGCCCATGCCAGTGCCCAGAGTTCCATTGCAGGCACTCGACTCTCAGAAGCAGAAGAGGAGCTCCAGTGCTAGGTTGCAGGGATGAAATGGGTCCTCTCTGTTCCTCTGCTTAGAGCCAAATCACACATGAGGCCCTGCTTATTTTCTCCACAGGATTGAACATGCAGGTGTATGACCATATGGAGCAATGTTAGTGTGAACCAGGGAGTATCCAGAGATAACTGCAGTGATTGTGCTTAAACTGGCTGGAAAATTGCTGCTACAATGGCAGAAATGGTTAGCAGAATGTATTTACTGTGGAGTTTACTCTAGCACTCTTTTATGAAGTCATTTGCCTGCATGGAGAAAAGAAGTGGGTGTATATGAGTGAAGCATAGTATCACTCAAATAGTTTTTTCATATTCGGTTTCTACAAGACAAGGCTTTGTCTCATTTTTGAAAATGGCTACCAATTGTTCTACAAATTTTGTAGGAATTTGTTCATGTGTATATACGTTTATATATTGAATTTGTGTGTGATCGGTTCAAATAATATATTGTTCTAATATTACAATTTCAAAATGTTCCGTTTCTCTTTAACATAGATGACAATGTTGTTCTTGCTCCTACACATGTACCTGCTTCTATCTTTGACTTTATCTAAAGGTCAGATTATTTTATTAGACATGCTGCTCTGTCCTAAGGCATCAGTTGGTCCACCAACTAGTGTCAGTCTGATTCACTGAGACTTGGTGGATGGTTTCCTTCTCAAGCTGCTTTTGGCGCCACAGCAGAACTTGTTCCAATAAAATCTTTGCTTTTCTGCTATTTAAGGAACATGTAGCTTCTGTTTCTTCACCACCAAAAGGTAAATGGGGTAAGAACTAGGTAAGACAGGCAAGAGTTGGTTAACTTACTTCTGTATTGTAATAACAGATAACACAGGTTTTTATTTTAAATGCTCAATTTAATGTACATTTACATAAAAATAGGCTTGAATATTACCAACACTGTAACCAACCTACCACAATGTTCCAAAAACATGACTATTAATGATGCACATCTCCTCCTTCTGCTATATTTACTCAAAGATGAGGCATGACATAGTTGAATCTTCCACACTGAACTGTCTGATGCTTGTTGGGGTAAGTGCTCTTTTTAGAACAATCTGAAAGTTACACTCTATGCAAACATTTCCTATTTTCTGTCATCAAGTATCTGCAGACAGATTAAACATTAGAAATATCTATTGATGACTGCCTGCAATTTTCACAATTCAATAGCACTTCTTTTCTAGCTGCCCCCAAAATGGGGATTTTCCAGTCATAGATTTGTCCCTTCACTTACTTAACTGAAGATGGGTGGGTTTATATAGCTGAAACAAAAAGAGCCATCCCTTCAAGAGACAGCCATGCAGATTCATAGTACTTTACATACTACTGCCAAATCATGTGAACTACTGGCTGCCCTTTATTCAGTGCTGGCTAGGCCCCATCTTGAGTAGTATATCCAATTCTGGGCACTCTGCTTCAAGAAATATGCAGGCAAATTGGATATGATTAGGGAACTGGAAACAAAGCCCCATGTGGAAAGACTGAAAGAGCTGGGCAAGAGGAAATATGAGAGCACTTTTCAAATACCTGAACAGCTGTCACACAGAGGAGGGCCAGGATCTCTTCTCAATCAACCCAGAATGCAAGGCACAGAAAAATGAACTTAAGTCACAGGAAGTCAGATTCCGGCTAGACACTGAGACAATTCCTGACAACAGTAGAGCAATGGAACCAATTACCAAAGGGACGTTGTGGGCTCTCTCACACTGAAAGCATTCAAGATACAACTGGAGGGCCAACTGAGAGGGATGGTTTAACGTAAGAGTCCTGTACTTAGTAAGTGGTTGGACCCAATGGCTCTCTAGCCCCTTCCAACTCCACTGTTCTGATTCTACACATAATTTATTGCTCTATTTCAAAATAAACAAAACATCCTTGAAACAACTTTTAAGTTGATTTGTATGTCATGTAAAAAATATTCATAGATCTTGCAAGCTGCCATGGTAATTAAGTCTCTAACAATTAATGATACTCCATCAAATCAAAACCTGAATGAAGAAGTTTCTGGATCTGGTGCTAATACATCTGTGGTGCTTTCCATTAAATGCAGTGGGTCTTGGTCTGAATGGAATCCTGATTTCTCACCCAGAAATTCAGCTGTGGGCAGGGGAAAGAGCAACAGAATCTTGCATAGAATTTTACATTTTCCCACCTCTCCCATGCTACTCTTGTCTACATTTGCTGGCCTGATGTTACGGGAAGATAGGTAGTACAGGGTTGTTTTTATCTTGTATTGTAGGAATACAAATATATAACTGAATACTCCAGAGGGGCCAATTGCCTGCTGTGAAATTACACAGGCATGTATAATGGTAAATGCTAAGGCAACAGATTTCAGCTACTACTAAAGATACTTGATAACTTGCCACTCTTCAGAAATAGGGTACTAAAATATGAAACTTCTGATACCATATAACTTTATTGTCATTTTCCACTGTATAGTTAGCAAATTGACTTTGCGAATGTTGTATCCCATGACAAAGTACACAAAAAGAGATCATACAATAATTTATTTTAGATACAGCTAAACACATTTCAGAGGCGAATCAAGATGAAGGATTCTTGTTTGCTGCAGCTATTTTTGTATTTCTTTCTGTATTTATGGAAGACACAAGCTGGACTATTTCTGGGTGACTAAATTTTCCTGGAGATCAAGAAGTCACAGTTAGTTAACATGCTTTCTCATTCTACTACATGCCTGGCAGGGATTTTGATAAGCAGCTTCCTCTACAAGAAGCCTTTGTTTGTACGGTGTCAGGAATTGCCTTATATTTTGTATTCACCAGCTTGTGTGTGTGGTTTTATTTTTTGTTCCCTGCTAAAACTATAGTAACATACAGAAAAAAACAGGAATTCTTGACACATGAGCCCTTCCATTTCTTTCACCCTCACATCCAACATTGTGTTAATTATCAGGTGAAAGCATGATACACTAGCAAGTCTGGATCTCACATAATAGCATACTGAGCAGGAATGTCAATTTCTTAGCTGACTTTCAGGTGTGCACTGCCACCAATACAGCTTTTGGACCACAACATCAAAAAACTTATTTTGGGCCAGTATATATAGTATGGACCATATATTTCTCCAGCATGTTAGTGACATGCACTAGGATGAATAGTGCAATTCTGCATGATCAAGGACCTTCTAGACATGTGCATTTTAAACTTAAGAAAGTTGCAAAGACAGTGATGTGAGGGAATTAGGGGGATGCAGTTCAAAGAACAAAGGTACAAATGTCCTGTGGGTACATGGAGATTCGTGGCCTCATCTAAAGTAGCACTTCATGTTTCTGCTGCTCTGCCTCAAAATGAGTCAACAACTTAATGAAAAGCACACCAGAGCTTTCTAGTCTGGCTCCGGATCCTAGTTATATGCACAGAATTATGACTCTTTTAACATGAAAAAATCTTTCTGGCTCACATATATGCATCCAACTTACTTAAACAAACAAACAAACAAACAACTTATATGCCGTCCCATCGCATGAGCCTGAAAGGAAACCTGAAAACGTGCAGTTAACATAATAGAAACTGCTGCTCGCAAATCCCTGTGTATATATTGTCTAGTTCACAAAAATCGTTCTCCACATGTTAAATGTCATCATATGGGGGAATTTGATAGCACAAACTGTCCACAAAGGGGCAAGATAATATAATGCAATTAATTTGGAAATATACTACACTCTGTACTTGGATGCCTGTTTATACTGACAATCAGGAGTCATTTTAGCAAATGGCAATTCTTAGAAAGATGTAAAGGAACCAAGTGTACTTAGACTAAAATAAATGAACCTGTAGATTTAGGAGGAAGTAATTCACCAGAGCTACTGCTGGTAGACAAAAGACACTAGCCAATTTAGACAAAGCTTGTAATAATCACATCCCTGTTAACATGTGACCAAAGGATAACAAGGAGAGAAGGGGCGATACCAGTGCAATTTGGAAGAGACGTTTGTTTCTTCCTCTCACTGTGGGACAGTTTCTTAATAAATCTATGGTGCTCTAGTAACATTTAAGTATAAAAGACGGTGTTAAAGATCCAAATGGGAGAGGCCGTTTAGGAACAAGCAAGTTGCTTACTATGTCATTTTTTTAAGAAAATAAAGCTTCACAGGTATCTGCTAGGAGTACTTAATGATTATTTTGGAGACTGGAAAACGGATAGACCCAATGGGTCTCTTTCCGGCCTTGACAGCCATTGTGGTGTACTGATTAAGAGCACCGGACTAGAACTCGGAAGATCCGGGTTCTAGTCCCCACTCGGCCATGGAAATCATGGGGTATCTTTGGACCACTTGTGGACTGTCAGCCTAACTTATCTCACAGTGTTGCTGCTATGAGGATAAAATGGAGAGAACCTTGTAAGCCACCGTGGGTTCCTTGAAAGGGGAAGAAAGGTGGGATATAAATACAATGCCATAATAAGACTGCTATTCTCTTTTCTGACACGCACAAAAATTAGTGTAATTGCAGTCTGTCAACCAGTTCAGTTCTGTAATGCAGGGCAATGCATCCTTAGCAAAAACAATGCTGATAAATAGTGAGCACACCCCATGCTCACCATACCCATGCATCACAACAACAAGTTGTGAGGGTGCAACACTAGCCAAAATCCTGGTATGTATCAGGTGGGTGCATGCATGATGCTTGATCCTGAACATAAATGGCAAATGGAGGTATTCTCTGTTGAGTGAAAACATGTCCAAGACTTAAGGCTTCAGTTGTTTTTCTTTGGCATGAAGATTCTCTCTACCATTATGAATACCATCCTCCTCAGGTATTGTAATATAATGAATTAAGACAAAGTGGAAAAGTTTAGAGGTGGTCTTCAAAAATGATCAGTGGACTGAAAACAAAGCCCTATGAGGAGAAACTGAAAGAACTGTATGTTTAGCCTTGAGAAGACTGTGGGAAGATAGCACTCTTCAAGTTCTTGGAAGGTGATCACACAGAGGAAGGTTCTCTTCTCAATTATCCCAGAATACAGGACATGGAATAATGGGTTCAGGTTAGAGGAAACCAGATTCCAGCTGGACATCTGGAAGAACTTCCTGAATGTTAGAGCAAAACAACAATGGAATCCATTGTGAAGGGAGATGGTGGGCTCTCCCACACCGGAGGCATTCGAGATGCAGAAGGACAGTCATCCATTACAGATGTTTTAACTTTGAGAGCTGCATTGAGCAGGGGGATGGATGGTCCTATTGGCCCCTTCTAACTCTACTATGATTCTAAGAGGCTAAGATATGCATGCAAAGCACTTAGAAGCAAAACAGAGGAACTGGCAAGCTTGGAAAGGACCATAGTTAGCAGAAGTGGACAACTTTCACCCCTCCGAAGGAACAAACAAAAAATCTAATGGGGAAACTCCCACAAACAGCTGAATGACAACTGAACGTGCTCAGTGACCACAGAGTGCTGATTATCTACTGAGGAGATGCAGAGTATGCAGAAATGGAATAGAGCATGGGAAGGAAGGCCTGGCTGGCAGGCTCAACAAGCAGAAGTACTCAGTACTGAAATGCTCAATTGCAGGTCGCATGCCCTATAAAGAATATTAACTATACAGTTAAGTGTTTGGAACAAAAAGCATTCTCACCTGCAGTTGAGTCATAAAAATCTTGAAGTTTCCCAGGTGTTTTCTCTAATTCTTCATACTCTAAGGCTTGAAGTATCATCTCACACTGATCTAGCTCTTTCACAAATCTTGCTTCTGCACTAGACTGGTGTTCATATTCCTAAAAGGGATTTGCAAGGTGGAAAAATATTCAATTAATCTACTTTCATTAAAAGTTTTGCAGTTATATGTACAATTCCTATTTCATTTATTACATAATATCTACAGAAAATAGTCCATATTTGATCCTTCTGCTCCACCACATATATTTCCAGCCAGTGAATGCAAACTGGTTGCAGGGAGGGAGGGGATAAATCTCAGTGCTATGGTATTTCCTGGGATACTTGTGGGAGGGCTGAAGGGGGAGAAGGCATACTGCCCACAAAGTGTCCACATGTCCGCCAGGTGCATTTTGGGTCAGATGAGCCAAAAGCCATATTGTATTGCTATGCAGTGTGACTTACCATTTTGTGCAAACCCTCTCACTAGTTGGGATCCCTCAAGGCCAAAACCGTTTCCTCACGAGAGGCCATAGCTTACATCTGCATAATACCACCCCTAAATTTTATGACCACATTGGGTGCAGAAAGAGAACACTCAGTGACTCCCTGGTGGCTCCCACATCTAGCTGTATTTAGCTGGTGGCCAGCCTCACACCAGGAGCATTTCATTTCCAAGTCCAGCATTGCAAATACCGGACATTATGTACTTCTATAACTAATAATCAATACAGATGCATAATGTCCACACATCACATTAATATTCAAATAATTAACTGTTTATAACTTACTTCCCATAGTTCATAAATTTCTTTTTTCAGATCTTCTGACAGCAATTCAGTCAAATGTTTCATAGCTTCCTAAAAATAAACAAGCAAAACCCAGCCCCTGAATTTTATTTGAGGTAGCTCAAATGTTGTTTCACTGTTTTTGGCAATGACAAAGTGCCTCCTAGTATGTCTCTGGTACTTAGAACTTGCAAAGAACATACAGATGATCTTGCCTAGTTTACAAAAAAATGTTAACAAGCACAAACCTCATTCTATAACAGACTGTATTCCCCCAGCAGCTTATGTCCTTGCACATGGAAGAATTTTTTCACTCTTCAGAGCAGTACGACAATGGAACCTATTACCTAGGGAAGTTGTGGGCTCTCCCTCACTAGAGACATTGAAAAAGCATCTGGACTGTCATTTGAATGGGACTTAGTGTCCTGCAATAACAAGGGGTTGGACCTGATGGCCTTCCAGCACCTTCTGACTCTACTATTCTTACTATTTTGTAAGCCGTCCTGAGCGCTTGGCGATAGGACGGGATATAAATGCCTGTAATAAACAAACAAACAAAACTATTCTATGATTCTATGAAATTCTACTTGTGGGTTTCCTGTAGGCACTAAGATTGGGCACTACATGAAAACTATGTAACGCTGGACTTGATGGACCTTTAGCTTGATCCAGCAAGGCTCTTCTCATATGCTTGATTCTCAAACAGTTATGCAGTACACCAGGGCCATGACACAGGATTGCAGGGGATAATGGAAGCAGTAGTCCAACTGATCATGAGGGTACCAATTTGGGAAAGGCTGCTATGCAATTGCATAGATCCATATTGTTTTTTCTTCAACAGTGCTGACTGCAAGATAGAGAACTGTGCCATCTTATTCCCATATATGATAAATTTGATTCCACTGGTAATGCCAACAACACATGATCATTTATCCTGTAGAAGTGAGAGGCCTAATACTGGAACTGGAAACCCATAACCTCCATTCAAAATATTTCTCTTCAATTACCCTATACTCTTAAAGCAGTAATAGAGGAGCTATGGTGCTGCTATGTAAACTGCTAAGCCACATCGGATACACAACCCTGTTTTCATTTTCTTATCACTCAGAATAATCTTAGTTCAGATTAGTTACTAAAGTCACATCACACAGCCTTGTCTCAGCTGGAGTTGAAAGAAAAAAGTTATTTACTTATTAAGATTCAAAATGTATACACTCAGATAATGGGGATTTTAGATAAATGCTCAACACGAGTTCAAGACCGGTTTTCCCCTCCCAAGTAAGAGAAGTCCAACACTGAGACTGCTCAATTACCCTAAATAAAACAGTTCTGGCAAAACCCTGAGGATCTTCCGAACTTGACAGACCATCATCCTGGATGTACCATCCATACTAACCTCTTCTCGCCTGTGTTTCTCCTCTTTGGAAACAGTGTCAGCAGGAGCAATATCACCAACTATGCATTCAGCCATATCATGAACTAGGGCTAGTCGTATGCACCTGCAAAGGAAAAGCGTTTAAAAGATGCAGGTATCTACCCCAAGTTTATAATAGATATACCCAAAATCTTATTGTATAATTAACTCTGAATCCAATGAAGTGATTTTTAACTTTATATCCAGTTATTTACTATTTATGGTAGGTCAGCAGGCAGTGGCCATTCCATCAAGCAACAGCACAGAGAAAAGGGAAGCAGAGTCTGCCCTACTGAAACATGCATAAGATTGTGTTCTCAGTACTGAAGAATAAAAAAGCCTTGCTAAATTAGTTGTGCACAAGTCCCACTGAAAGCAATAAAAGACAACCATAAATAACTTATTTCCACCAGAACTCAAGCACAGTTGAAGCCACAGTATGTGTTCCCCAAATAGGTTATATAGTGTTCTCTTTTCTTATTATACTTACCTGTCTTTATTCAGTGTTTTATCTTCAGTTACCATAGCCATGACCGCCATCCTGTACATGTGATCTGAGACACTCTCTGGATTGGGTATCTTTCTGTATACCCAGCCTGTCCGTGGTACTCTCTTGGTAAAAACAGTTTGAGAAATATTTTTAATGAATTTGCATAAGCATCTGTAATGGCACAGCCAAGCCTCTTATAAGAAGATTTATTTGTCTCAAGCAGACACAAAAAGAAAGGTTAATTCTAGTAAGTAATACAACATTCATACAACCACCTATGCTGCCTCTTCTGGCAACAGAAACCAAACCTTGTGTTGCTTGCATTTCTCCAGGTAGGAGGAGGTAAGGATACAAACATGACCCTGGCTCTTACTAAGAGGGCTTTAATAGGTATCTCTCAAGTTGCATCAATTGTAATCTTTCCTGACCTTCCCCAAGGCAGCCAGCGTATCCCACCAGGCAATCAACAAACATACATGAACTGCAATTCTACCTCTCTTCCGACTGATTACACATATGCTGCTGCTGCTTTTCTATTACTTCTTCATTGCCGCCCTCCTTACTCTACTGCTTTTCCAGTGATGCACCCTTTCTGTCATCCCCATCTTGGCAATTCATGACCCTTCCTGAACTCAGTGATTTCCAGATGGCTTTGCCTACAACTCCTCCCATTCCCGGCCAGCACGACAGGAGTTGCAGTTCAACACACCTAAAAGGGCACCAGGCTGCAGCAGGTTCTTTTTCTGTGCCATCATGTCTTATTCCTAAATAACATTCAGGATGGGGCCCTGAATGTTTTTCAGGCTTAGGCTACTTAGGACGGTGAGCAAGCGAAGAGGAAGGGAAGGCTTTTCTAGCTGCATCATGACATGCTGAGCACGTCTGTAGTGCCCTGCAACATGTCTTGGGAAAGCAGCCTCACCGCCTGAGCTCAGTCGCGTCCTGTCACACGCCCCAGAGCGCTCAGTGAGGCTTACCCGGTGGAGGTGAAGGAGCCCAGGCCCCCTGCCTTAAGCGGTGTGGAACCCGAGATGCGCTTCCCCAAAGAGTCATGCCGCCTTGAGCAACGCTGACCCGCCGAGGGCTTCCTCGCTCACCTTCAGCTGACCCACCAGCTTCATGAACTGCAACAAGCTCCCCATCGCCGCCAACCCGCCAGCCGAAACCAGCTACTGCAACCACGGTGGCCAGAAGACGCGCCACCTCCCCAGCATCACCTTCCGAACCTGCTCTCCAACCCGGAAGCGGATCTGCTGATTGGCTATAATCCCGGAACCGCCTCGCCGCTTCTTACTCTCACTGGCTCGGATATCTCAGAGGCGCCACCGACTTCTTTCTCTCATTGGCTCGGATCAGGGAAGCTGGAGGATGCTGGGAGTTGTAGTCTAATAGGTTGAGGCACATCCGGTTGGGAAGAGCATCATTACGGTTGGTCTCAACATTTTGCTCGCGGGTCGGTTTTTGCGCCTTGTGGTGCGGTTAGTTGTTAGGATGTTATTGGAAGCTGATTCCATCATTAATTACTATAACCGTTACAATTTTTCAATAATGTTTAATTTTCCATCTTCACATACTTATTTTGATAATGGCATGTGCCTGGCTCTGAAAAGAGAATTTGCTATGGCTGAGAAATAAATGACTCCTAGCCTAATAAAATCATTGCTATTTCGTGATGTGCAGTGCAATACCTAAATGAATACAAGAACACGTGTTTTAGGGTTCAGTCCTGTGCATGTTGTACTCTAAATGAGGTTTTCAATTTTCTTATGCCATCTGACCCCTTCATGGATCACTGCCTTGTCGTGGCGAAGGGGCTTGCGTAGTGCAATGAAGCTCTGAGCTATGCTGTGCAGGGCCACCCAAGACGGACAGGTGATAGCAGAGAGCTCTGACAAAACGTGATCCACTGGAGAAGGAAATGGCAACGCACTCCAGTATCTTTGCCATGAAAACCCCATGGACAGTACCAAAAGGCAAAAAGATATGATGCTGGAAGATGAGCCTCTCAGGTTGGAAGGTGTCCAATATGCTACTGGGGAAGAGCGGAGGGCTAGTACTAGTAGCGCCAGAAAGAATGAAGCGAGTAGGTCAAAGCCAAAAGGACACTCATTTGCCGATGTATCTGGTGGTGAAAGGAGAGTCCGATGCTGTAAAGATCTATACTCCACAGGAACCTGGAATGTAAGATCTATGATCTAGAGGAGATCAACCCTGACTGCTCTTTAGAAGGCCAGATCCTGAAGATGAAACTCAAATACTTTGGCCACCTAATGAGAAGGAACAACTTATTAGAGAAGAGCCTAATGCTGGGAACAATAGAAGGCAAAAGAAGAAGGGGATGGCAGAGGGTGAGATGGCGAGAGGGAGCCAATGGAGTAGTGGGTGTGAGCTTGGGTGGACTCTGAGGCACGGTGGAGGACAGAAGAGCCTAGAGGAATGTAGTCTGTGGGGCCGTGATGGGTCGGGCATGACTTTGCAACTAAACAAAATCATGGATAGGACATGTTGTACACTTTCTCGGCATAGGGTTGCCATGAGTCAGAGACAACCCAATGGTATATAACCAGAACAGCAGCAACACCAAGCGGCTTTGCAAGCTGTAGGATGGCAAAGGCATGAGCGGACCAATGGAAAAGTCAATTTCTCAGGGAAGGTTTTGGAGAGTCTTGAAGGAAGGGGATGTGAAAGCAGTGCTTTCATCACAGAGCTGTAAGAAAATGACCACAATAATTATTTTGGGAATGAACAAAGTGGGGTGCAAAAGAGGGGGAAGGATCCACACTTTTTGAATAATCCATAGCAGTCACAGCATCCACATGCAGCCGCCCATCCAGCTGCAGGCCGAAGCCTTTTCAGCTTAGCAAGGCTACCATCGCACGCTAGCTGCCGCTCAGCTATAAATCGAGCTACTGACTACCTCTGCTTGCCAGCTATGTGAGTCCTCCTCTGGGCTGCGCTGCTCACTCCTCCCAGCAGCCCTCACAACGGCGCTCCCCCTCCCAGGCCGCCCGCCCACGCCCGCCCGCCCGTTGCAGCCACAGCCTGGCAGCCCCGCCAACACCCGGGGGGGGGGAGGGGGGAGACACGCACCTCCCTCGCTGCTCTCCTCTGACGCAGCCTGACACGCGAGCGCACGCAGCAGCCGCTCCACCACTTCCACCTGTCTGTTCCCCCTTCAGTGTTCCTCACGTCTTGCACTTTTTCCCTCCTTTTCCATTCCGCCCCCCCGCTTTTCCTTTCTCCTCCTCTGCTGCGCTTCGCTTCTTCTTCTATCGCAACATCCCGGTTAATACTAAGGAGGGGAATACAGCGCGCTGTGCTCCCTTCAGGGAGGCCGTTTTCCTTGCGATCAAAGAGCAGCATGAAAACCGTAGTGAAAAGGACTTGCTATGTCCGGGACAGGCAGAAGGAGAGCGTTTCACTGCATAGACCGAGGACAACGACATACGGGAAAGAGTTCCCAAGTCCCAGTCTTTCCTGCAATCCCAGTGTTAAGCCAGCGAAAGCAGCAGCAGGAATGTGTGAGCCTCCAAGTGTGGCAGATCTCCTGTCGGGGGCGGGGGGAGGTGCGTAAGGCTCAGGACCCCTGTGGCACTCGCAGACTGCTCCCGAATGGTCCCCCTCCCTCGTAGCAAGCGGTCACAGGTGCTGCTGCTTTTTGCCTTGGATCTCCTCCTGACCTGAGGAAGACGAACAGCTGAGTTTGCAGGGCAGCCATGGATAGGACATGCTGGGCACCTTCCCCTTATTAGATCGCCGTGGACCAGAGACAACTGGACGGTACCTGAACGGAACAAGGGCCACATGTGCCAGGGCACCTTGCAAGGGAGGGAAAGGAGAGGAAAGGCTCTGTTGCGTGAGGGCAGGAGACATGACCCACCCAGTGCTGGGTCATGCGGGAGCTGCACGGCAAGCCAGGGGGACAGCGACAGGCCCTTCTTGCCACCCAGTCGTGCCCCCGCACCCTTGCTGCAGGCCGCCTCTCCTGTGGGCCCGGGTGCCCACTCGAAAAGGCCCAAAGCGAGAACGCCAGGTTCTGGTGGAAAGTCCGTTTTGCACACAGGCTTTTGAGAATCTGGATGGAAGAGCAAGTAAAATCAGCAGGTGTTCCTCTGGACAGAGGGAAGAGAAGAAATGGCGTGGAAAAGGAATGCGGTGGGGAGCAAGAAAAGGGTTGCCCCTTTTGTGTGTAATCCATAGCAGTCAGCATCCACATGCGGTCGCCCATCCAGCTGCAGGCCGGAGCCTTTCCAGCTTAGCAAGGCTGCTATCGCACGCTAGCTGCCGCTCAGCTATAAATTGAGCTGCCTACAGCTCCTACTTTAGAGCTATGTGAATCCTCTGCTCCCCTCCCTGGTGGCACTCTAGAGGTACAAGTAGAATTAGGATATGCTGCCGCTTTGGCCTCGTCTCTGGTCTCACTTTTCATTCCTCCTGGCTCACCCAAAAGACACTCCCCCTCCCCTCCCCTTCCCGCTTCCCGCGGGCGTTGAGCTTAAAGCCTCTCTAAGCCTCTCCTAGCCGCAGGGCTCTGGCCACCGCAGCCACGCCTGCAGGCCTTGCGCGTCCCGCCGGCCCACTCCCGTCGGGACAGACGGCGCTGGCCCCAGGGGCGCCCCTCCCTTGCCGGAGCCCGGCCGCAGCACTTCCCCGCCTTGCCCCCTTGCGCGTCAGGGGGCAAACGCGCCTCGCAGCGCCCCCGCGCGGCTGCCGCAAGCTCTGCGTCCCTTGCCGCGTCTTCGCGGGCTCGGGCATCGCGCTGGCTCGGCGGGGCCGCACGCCGCGCCAAGAGCGGGCGGGCCCAAGAGCCCAAGGGGCGGGCGCTTGCACTCAGCCTCTTTTCTTGCAATCTAGGCGGCAGTCCTTTCCTTTCCCTTAGCCGGATCTCGCCTCTTTTGGGGGAGCTTCCCAGTGGTCGACTCCGAGTTACTGATTCCTCCCATTCAAGGAATGTCCCGTGCAGAACGGGCGTCTTGTCGCGGGGAAGCACTTCTTTCGGATGCTCCTCAGTAGCGAAAGCCAGACAGGCAAAATGTCCCTCGGCTCCGAGCGCTCCCTGCTCGGCTCTTGCCGTTTCAGGCCGACAGATGGCGCTCCCTGCCAGCCCACGCCGATCGAGGAGCCCCTAGGACTGGAGCTCCCAAGACATGCGCACCGCACTGAAGCGGGATTCCCTTTTGGGCCGGCCAGAGGAACACCGAAAATGCGCAGACTGCTGCGATCTCAGGCGGCGTAGGGTGGCCAGGCCGTCAAGAGAGCTGGCTGCTTGGTGTTGAGGCCTTGCTGCGATCTGGAAACGGGACAGGAAGAGAATGCAGGCGTTCAAATAAGGCTCCCGCCCGCGATGGGATGCGATGCTTTCAGGTTTTCCCCACGCTTGCTTGGATGAAGGGTTCATCCTCTGCAGCCTGCAGCTTTGGAAAATACAGAATCCATCCCTTCACTCCGGAATGTTGCCACCTTGGATAAAGCATGCAGGTTGCTTTGGCAGCAGAATCACGGAGAAAACAGTCAGTATAGCAACAGAGCTCGAGCTGTTTTTAGTTGCTGTACCAGGAGAAAGGTACAGTCGGTAGTAGCTGGAGCGGACGAAGTTCAGTGTGTAAAATCCCAGCCTGAGGACTCCCCTCCTCCCCTGCTAATTGAGGTGTTCTGCAAGGCCCCGGAAACGGAAAGTGCCGCTTTCCTTCGGCTAAGTTGTTGCATTTTTCCTCTCCCCGCTGCTGGCGGGGGGAAAAACGCTTTCGAAACATGCTCAAGCCCCGTTCGAACTCGGCAGGGGTACGTGCCCCGTGGGCTTTGCATTGGTGGGCTGCAGCCAAGCAGGTTTGCCATGCCCTGGCTCAGTGGTGGCGCCCCACACGCAAGAAGCGAAGGGTCTCGGTGTCTCCATTTGAATCAGAACTTGCTGCCAGTTCTAACATCACGCTCAAGCAAGGTCACTTGCGTGCCCTGCAGATTTTTGGAAGGTGGGCTCCTTTACAAGATTATCATGGTATCAGAAGCTTGCATCTTTCACACTCCTTTTTTCATAGGAGAAGAACAGACAATAGTAATATTTTCATAATCCATGCAGTTAGCTTGTCTCTTCACTTAAGAAAGTTCCTTGTGATGCAGCATTCACTGGGTTTAGGCTTCCTTAAAACAGTGTTGGGTCCTTGCTTCTTTCACCTACAATTTGTTTAAAGAACCCCCCCCCCTTCTGCGGGTCATTTTAATTGATATTCTTGATAAAGTA